TATATATATATATATATATATATATATATATATATATATATATATATATATATACATATATATATAAAAGCATATGTTCAACTCGGTTGGTTACCATGAGCAATGTAAGTAACTACGGTTAATTTCGATTGACATCGATTAGTCAATCGTCTTACCGCGCTTTTCGATTAAATTTGCTTATATAAATTGTTAATATAACCCTTAATTACATTGACTATGTTTAGTCGTTAATCAAATAATCTTTAATTACTTTCATTCATTTTAATCGTTAATTCAATAATTTTTAATTGAATTCCTTCAAATCAATCGTTAATTAAATAATATTTAATTAGATTTCTTGAAGTCAGTGGTTAATTAAAATATTTTTAATTGAATAGGCTTTTATTAATCGTCAATTATCGTCGATAATTAATTGAAAAAGTAATTAATTATTTGCAATTTTGATTCTATTTAAACAAGCATGTAATGACGTCTAGTCTTTGATTTGCTTCACTTTTTCGTTCCGCTAGTGAATAGTATATTCAGTTATAGTTACAAAAAAGTAAAAAGAAAAAAATGTCAGAATACACAGTGCGCTCGAGCGTGCTTTGTCGCATCAGAAGTTAGTCGCCCTTGACGCGACAGGGGGGAGGGGGGATCGCAACAATCATACGCAAGTTAGTGTCTCAATCGCGCGCCATATCATTCCGCGACGTGGAGACGAATGGCTGCGTTGCGTTGCGCGCTATTATCTCTTCCGAGTTAATTGAAGCGACGTGAGATGAATCGCGATGATATTTCGCGTGCTCCGTCAACGTGCTGGAATTATCGTAAGCATTGAGCACAACGTGTAATTCGAAGGGTAACGGCCACATTCGATTTTCGTAAATTTGAGCAAAAAGCGCGCTCCACATATTCTCGATTCGCCTGATCGACGAATAAGCGTTGTTATTAACCAAGAATATCATTTTTTGCTTTCAGACTTAGCAGAGCTTACGATCGATCGAGACGCTGTTCTGCGAAGATTACGGATGCAGTAGATGGCAGATGCGGTACCGGAGGATCCGGTTCGGGCCATGCAGAGTCGATTTGCAGGTTAGTTCACAGATTGCCTGCATTTTTCCATTCTTTAATATAATCTAATATAATAAATATAATCTTATCGAAATGATTCGAACTATCACAAATAATTAATCTACTGTGATTTTAGTCCGTTAAATAGAATTCGTTAATCTAATGAGCAAAATCACATTTTTGTTACAGATTCGGTGAGTGAAAGAAATGGGAAAGATACTAAGGTGAAAGTACAAAGATTTTAGGTAATGGGTTCGTTTTCAAGATTTCATTACAATCAATGCGATTTACCTTGTTCGTATTATTTTGCATGTTTTGGGTAATGTGATGGGATTCAGTGATATGAGTCGCACTTTTCCTTGTTTTAAGAAGTAAGAATCACTTTTGATACTCTCAATCATTTTTTCTCACTATTACATTTTTATATTATTCATACATCTACTATCACACATACACATATACACTCCTATAAACCCGCATACTCATACTTACATATTTACACATACATGCTTATGCTCGCATACACACATTGAGCTACATTGTTTTGTACAAAACTTTCGTACAACTTTCAAACGGATGAACAAAAAATTGAAGTAAATTAATAGATTTTAAACAAGCAAGGACAAATCTTCACAGTTGTGTTAATGAAATATAATGTTATATTTTATTAGCGACTCGTACCACTTCGTTCATTGTTCGATTTTCTACTATGATTGTCCGAGCACGGTCGACTAAAGTTCGACCCTTAAACTTCGCAAAGCGAGTAGCGAAGTAATCATGTCGGAATAGCGACGTGCGCGAAACTCACGGTAATTTCACTCGCAGTTAATGAATTTCGCAACTGCTGCGATTTGAAGTTTTCTATTTCATATCTGTGGAAATAAAATTTCTGTCGAGTCACACGGTTAATACGTTGTTCGCGCAATTCGTGTTAATAGATTTGACGAGATCGCCGCGAGTTCGTTTGTTTATGTTTACGTTTGTGTCGCGGACACGTTCGTTCGACAAGAACCTTTGGTCGAATAAAATTCGTGATTTTCGCATTTCGAAAGTAATTTCGCTAATGAGATCGTGGAGCAGTTTTTGCAGAAATATTGCAAAGCCATCAAGCGTGAGAATATCACGCCATTTTTGATCAATTCTTATGTAGCTTTGATAGATTTTCGCGATTTTTAGGCATGATTTTCGTGATTTTCAGGCGCGATTTTTGCAATTTTCAGGCGCGATTTTCGCGATTTTCAGGTGCGATTTTTGCAATTTTCAACCGCGATTTTCGCGATTTTCAGGTGCAATTTTTGCAATTTTCAACCGCGATTTTCGCGATTTTCAGGTGCGATTTTCATCATTTTCAGATATGTTTTTGAAATGCTGAAATTTCACGATAAACATTTATTAAATTACATTTCGTTTCACGATAAACATTTATTAAACAACCGCGCACTAATTCCGATTTTCCGACTTTCTGTTAATCGAAGTCGTAGATTTCGTCCCGAGATAAATCATCCAAACTTTTTATTGATGCCGTCGTTAATCCGCTAAATGCCGTTAAAACGTGAACATTAATTGCGCCACGTGCGCAATGAAGAACGAGGAAGTGAAAAATAATCAACGTGGGACGACGAAGACTGGACACTTTGGTGGGAACACCGGATGCAGAACAACGCAGTTTGGGATGCGGCCATGAGTTTTATGCTGGTGGGTCCGGCCGGGACATCCATGGATTTTCAACGATGATGGTGAGTGTTGAACCTCAACACTCAAAGAGTGACATACGGTGTAATGCATGTTTAGTAAATCGCATTGATTTCTAATGAATAGGATAAGAGTTGGGAATGTGATATTTTAATAGCGTTTATATATTTGCGATTTAATTACAATCGAAAATCGATTGCAGTATTGTGGAATCAAAATTTCAACTCCCCATTAAGATATCACATTACATCTCGACATATTTTTATTATGATGCAGTATAATACATATAATAGCACTTAATAGATATCACACTACATCTCCACATATTTTTATTATGATGCAATATAATACATTTAATAGCACTTAATAGCATTTAATAGCACAGTTAACAGCACTTTAGTGCACTGATATATTGTGATTCATATACGAAAACATTGTGATGTACGAAAATATTGATTGCTCTATATTTGATATCGGAGCGGTAGAAAACAAATGCGCGATAAAAAGTCGATAGATTTCACCACATCTCTTCTGTAAGACTCGTTTTCCGTGATACTCTCCGCGCGATATGTTCCGCGTTTTCGCAAGTTGCCAGTCCGCGACATTTACAGTCGTGTCACGACATTTGCTAGCTAGCGTCGTACAGGCGCGTTTGTCCCGTTTTGTCACAAAGGGAAATATTTACGGCTGATATTCAGTATACACGGGACATGTAGAATGTATATTGCGAGAAATTGGAATCTGGTCAAGCTGCTTTTATCGGATAAGGAGATTGGATGCATTCGAGTCGTAGCGCGTGAGATTGCTCGCATATGTCATACAATCGAGACGCTTTCGGCGTCCCACTGTTCACGTATCGCGTATACAATTTGCTTCTCGAACGCACACATGTCGCAAAAATTATACTCTCCATTCGTGATGGCCGGATGTCTCTTTCCCTGTCGCGGTAAGAATCATGCTGGGGGAAGCACAGCGCGTGATCGGATCGCGCTTCTCTTTTTCTATCACCTCCGGAATATCTCTCCATCGGGGCGCGATCGAGCGTTCTGTCCTCCGCCATGTTTCCCACTTTGCAATATTTTTCAGAAATTCGCGCGACGCGGTATACGCAGCACACGTGAGGCGTACTGCGGCGGGAGATGAGCGGGAAATAAAAATCCCAGATTATGTTCTCTCTCTCTACTCGACGGGATGTAAAACAGTGCAGTTTTAGCAGGGACTCTTTTAGCCGTGGCGACATGTACGTGCGAGGCGCTCTCCTTGCTCGAAATCCCCGGAGAGCAGCCGTGCGCGGATGCATATGCGATAGAAAGCTGTGTATGTGTATAGGGAGGAAGGG